GGGGGGGGGGTGGGGTGGCGGGGGGGGGCCGGCGGGAGCCGTGCCAGGTGCAGGGTCTGCTGGGCTGGGTGCTGGCAGGCTTGCGCCTTGGCACAGGCACCGTAGCCAGACCGTGCCCCTTTAAGGGCTCCGGGGCTGGGAGGAGGGCAGAAGAGTTTTCCTGGCGGTGCCCAGAGTGGCCACCAGGGAAAGCTGGGGAGGGCTAGCCTCCCACTAGTTCGAATTAAGTGGCTACACAGCCCTTAATTCGAATTACTTAATTCGAACTAGGCGTTATTCCTCGTAGAATGAGGTTTACCTAGTTTGAATTAAGTGCTCTGCTAGTTCGAATTAAGTTCGAAGTAGCGGATTCTATGTGTAGTGCCTATTAAAGTTAATTCAAACTAATGTCTGTTAGTTCGAATTAACTCTGTAGTATAGACATACCCTCAGTGAGGGATGAGCAGGCGGCTCTGTAGGAGCCAGCATGTTTGGGGAGCCATCTTAAAAGCCAGCTCCCACCTCTCCTCCCCTTCTTAGTAATCCAGGGGCAGCAAGGGGTATGTGTATTCATTTGGATTAATTGATAAGCCCAGACTTATTGGTTAAGCGTGTAACAACTATACGCTGACATCCCTAGTTCAGTCAGGTAACCAGTTAACCATTAGGTTTAACCAGTTAACCGGGGCTCCTGGCTACCAGCCCCTCCAGGCTGCCAGGCGCAGCCTGTGGAGCGGTGGGCCTTGGGCTGTTCCCGGGCACTGGTTAGCCCATCCCGCATCCAGACCTTCCTAAGTTGCAGCTTTGTCCCCAGCGTTCCATTGTATTTATTTGGTCACATGGATAAGCGACCATGCTGCTAATTGCTAATGCCAGAGAGAGGACTAACTCCACTGCTATCTGAATTAGGCCCTTAGGTCCCAGGCTCATCATTTCCAACAGGCCTTTTCCTCTCTGTGTTTGCTAGATTGTACTTTGCACTTATCTTATTAGGCCTGGTCTTAAACTTGAAATTGGTAGCAGCACAACAGTTTCAAGCAGGGGAGTGGTGATGGTGTTTTTAAATATAGATTTATTTCTACCCGTACAAGCCGTAGCGAGGCTGCAGACACTGGTACAAAGGTGTCTTTTCCCAGTATACTTTATTCCTCTTCCTAGACAAGGCTAGTCGTGCCAGCACTTTTCTACCGATATGTCTGCCTCCCTTTGGTGGGGAGGAGGGGGTGATTACGCTGCTTTAGCAATGCTGCTATGCTCTAAGTGCTACAGCTTCCTAGTGTAGACACGGGGTTAGGTGAATTAGGGCCAGATTCTTATCTTCAAGGCAGTGGTGGGTGCTTAGCCTGTGCTATGTTCCTCAGCACCCTGCCAAAATAAGGCCTCATTGTAGCTTTGGGGGGAAATCCCGCTTGTATACTTTTTGGAATATTTGTGGCAGAAGCAGTAACTTTTTTGCTCCACAAAGTGGGGCCCCTCTCCTGCAGTGTGACACGAACAATCAAACTTTTGTGCCTGTGCAGGATTCCTAAAGGCCTCTCGTAGCAGCTGTTTGAAAGTCAAGTCAATAACACGAGTGACTCCTTAGCCGTGTTGAATACATTTTGTTTATGCTCGTCTGTCTCGGCCCTCCCTCCTCATCTGTACCCTGAGACGCATCCCGTGCTTGTGCAAGCTAATTCACAATATTAATTTTGTTTCGTGTGATTTTAAACAGTAATGCTCATTGCAAGAGTGTTAAGCCCAAATACATTAGTAACTTTCTTGAGTTTTTTTGCGGGACGGAAGGGGGAGAGGAGGAAGAGACCAGCGTTCAAAAAAGGTTTGTTAAAGAGCTGTGATTCAAAGCCAGCATGGAATAAACGTTCTATGAAGCATCCTTTGGCCACATATTAATGTCATATCTTTATTATGGAAAATACATAAGTAATGGCTTTTATTGTGATTCATCCTAAGTAGATATTTTGCTGTCAGCTAGAAGAGCTAATTCATTGGCTGTATAAAGTAGCAGAAGTTACAGACAATTGGATTCCACCTAAAGCAGACATTGAAAGTGTGAAGACCTCTCTACGTCGTTACCTGGTAACTATTTTTGAGGATCATTTTCTTTTCTCCCCAGGCATGTGTTTTAGTAGGAATTATTGCATAGAACAAAACTTAAAGGGTGGGTTTTTTTTGCCCCAGAATGAGTATTGGGATGTATTAGGCGAGGTGTTTCTAGTAGGGATAAGGAGATGTTAGTGCCATTATACAAGGCATTGGTGAGACCCCATTTGGAATACGGTGTGCAGTTCTGGTCTCCCATGTATAAGAAGGATGAATTCAAACTGGAACAGGTACAAAGAAGGGCCACTAGGATGATCCGAGGAATGGAAAACCTGTCTTATGAAAGGAGACTCAAGGAGCTTGGCTTGTTTACTTTAACCAAAAGAAGGCTGAGGGGGGACATGATTGCACTGTTTAAATATATTAGAGGGATAAATACCAGGGAGGAAGAGGAATTATTTAAGTTTAATACCAATGTGGACACAAGAACAAATGGATATAAGCTGGCTAATAGGAAGTTTAGACTTGAGATTAGACGAAGGTTTCTAACCATTAGAGGAGTGAAGTTCTGGAACGGCCTTCCAAGGGAAGTAGTGGGGGCAAAAGATCTATCTGGTTTCAAGATTAAACTAGATGGGTTTATGAAGGGGATGGTTTGATGAGATAACAGGATCTTGGTATCTAATTGACCATTCATTATCACTGGGAAATAGGTCAATGGAGGGATGATAGGAGTTACTATGGAGAACTTTCTGGGTGTCTGGCTGATGAGTCTTGCCCACGTGCTCAGGGTTTAGCTGATCGCCATATTTGGGGTCGGGAAGGAATTTTCCTCCAGGGTAGATTGGCAGAGGCCCTGGAGGTTTTTCGCCTTCCTCTGTAGCATGGGGTACAGATCACAGCTAGAGGATCTTTGCATCTTGGGGTCTTCAAAGTATTTGAAGGCTTCAATATCTGAGATATAGGTGAGAGGATTATTCTAGGAGGGGTGGGTGAGATTTGTGGCCTGCACTGTGCAGGGGGTCAGACTAGATGATCAAAATGGTCCCTTCTGACCTTGGAGTCTATGAGTCTATGAGTCAGTGTTGGCATTTGGCCAGTGCTAGAGTGTTAGTCTGGGAGATCTGAGTTCAATTTCTGTTTTGTCACAGGCTTTCTAGGTGACATGGGCAAGTCCCTAGGGTACGTCTACACTAGCCCCCTCGTTCGAACTAGGGAGGCTAATGAGGGTGACCGAAATTGCTAATGAAGCGCGGGATTTAAATATTCCGCGCTTGATTAGCATATTCCCGGCCGGTCGCCATTTTGGAAACTGATTAGCCCGAAGTAACTGCCCCCGTCTATACACGGCGGAGAAGCGGAAATCCTAGATTAAACCCCTTAATTAGCAATTTCGGTCACCCTCATTAGCCTCCCTAGTTCGAGCTAGGGGACTAGTGTAGACTTAGCCTAAGTCTTTTTGTACCTCGGTTCCTCAGCTTCAAGATAAGGATAATACACTGCCCTACCTCACAGGGCTGTTCTGAGAATAAATATATTAAAGATTGTGAGGTGCTGAGGTACTACAATAACGGAGGCCATGTAAATCCTAAAATAGACAGCTGCTCCTGTTGATTTCAGTGGGAGAAGAGTTGGGCTGAGGCATTTTTGAAAATCCCACTAAGCACATTTCAGGATCTGACTGGTGCCAAACTAGAAAATTTTGCTGAACACAGGAGGTCCAATTTGTCTAGCAACATTACCAAGACTTGCAAAATGGCTGTTTTCCATAAGCCAGGAAAGCAGGAATATTGAGGTCCTTTGGGGTAATAGGTGGCCTTCCAGACTGCCACTAACTGCTTGTATCATGCTCATTTCTATCGTGACACACAGTCCCCAAAACACTTAAAAAACCAAAGCCTGTTTTTCTCTGCAGCAATTCAAGAAAGACGTCAGTGACCACCAGATGCTGACAGAGAGTGTGTTACAAAGGGGCGAAACTCTCCTGAGCTGTATGGCATCAAATTCACCAGGTAAAGGGACTTTCCTTTGGGCAGAATGTGGAGAACGTCACTTTGCATGCGACAACAAAACCTGCAAGAGATCAGTGTCTACTGCAGCCAGGCTCTGAGATTCGTGTCCTCAGCTGCGTTGGTGGAGAGTTTCAGTTGCCTTGTCAAAACTAGCGCGAGCTTTAAATAGAAATGGCTCATAAGCTTGTGCAGGACTGATAATAACTTGAAACAGGGTTGTTTATCAGTGCACTCTAAGTGCAGGGTAATGAGAAGTTTTTACTTATAGACTAGGGACTGAAGTCTGCCCTTTAAGGTGTAGGTCTAAGGCGAAAGTTTAGTTCCTGATGAAATCCATTGCAAGTCAGTCTGAGAGCTAAGGATGTAAAATCCTGGTTAACTGCTTAAATGGGCTCCCACGGGCTGGAGCGGCATGGCGCAGTCGGCCCGACCGGGCTGGAGCAGCCTGGCGCAGTGTCCCATGAATGGGCGGGGAGCTCCTCCAGCCTGGCTGGGCCGCCAATTAACCAGTAAGCATCACCTGGTAAGGGTGATGCTTATGGGTTAATCACTCACAGGCCTACTGAGAGCTGTGGTTGAGGGACCAAACGCAGTTCAGTCTCCACTTAATGGAGGACTACTCTAGTTGTGTCCGTTTAAGCCATCACTCACAGGCTAGTTTAGAGGCGACACTTTTTTAAACTAGTGTCACAACTTCTTTGCTCCACCTCTGCTCTGCATTTGCCAAAGATATTTCTCAGATATTGAATGGGAGAGCCGTGTATGTAAGTGTCTCCTGTTCCTTGGATAATTGTCTTTTGAACGTGCTACTTGCCATCTAGGTCTCTAGCAGGTCCTCTGCTGGAGATGTTCGCACATGGCAAGCCCCTTCCTGTCCCAAAGTTTGCTGGCGACAGAGCTTGATTTCTACTGTAATGATAAGGTTGCAGTGTTGGCCGTTGTCTTTTCTTTTTTTTTTAGACTGCTCCTGCTCCCTCTTCTGCTTTACTAGCGCTGGCAGGTTATGCAGCTGAGCTGTTCCAAGCATGGAGCGCTCTGTGACCTTCCCCTAATGTATGGTGGTGGCAGCAGCAGGAGAGTCTTGGTTCTGCCACCATTTCCATGTCAGTGCTTCAGTTTGTATTAAGGATTCGATAAACCCTGGCCTATGGATTGGGGTGTAAATCTTGTGCTGGGAAGGGACCATTTAATACGAGCAGGAGAAGACAGAGGTGGCGTTAAGCCTTCATGTCACCCTTCGAATTCTAGGTGTGGCCCAGGGTAAACCTTAGAACAGCAGCCCCAGAGCCTGTGCTATGTAAGGACCTGTTTAACTAGACATCTGTGGGCCACTCTGCTGGTTCAGAATAGTGGGCGTGCACCTCTAGGGGCTGCACATGAGAGCAGCCTACTGCCTGTGGTGGCAGGAGAACACCTTTGGGTCAGGTGAATTTCATAGACCCATAGAGCTGGAAGAGACCTCAGAAGTTCATCAAGTCCAGCCCCCGTTGAGAGACCTGCCTGAGGTCACGTTTTTATGCTGCTGGAGCTGTCGGGCCAGAAAATGGGTCAGATCTGGAGCTTGGTTTTTGGATAGCTTGTTGATTAGCTGGCCAGAGACCTGTTGGTTTGTAAAGTCAGCTTGTGTTGGAGCTATCTTGGGTGGAGGGGAGCAGACATATTCGAGTACCAGGATTAAAAGATGAAATTGGCCACCTGCTTGGTTGCTATAGGGAGGACATTGGCAGCCGCATCCAGTGCTTTTTTTGTGACGGTACTGCCCGGTACTCAGTACCGGCACCTCCAGTCAGAGCTCAACAACTTTTCCCCTGGAGTACTGGCACTTTTTTTTTTAATTAACAAAAAGAGCACTGGCCGCATCAGATGGGGACGGAAGGCAGGACAGGTAAGCTTTCAGGAGCTTTGGGTTTGGATTATGTTTTGTATTGGTTTGTTTTGGCAAAGCTTTGCACTCTTAAAACTGCACTATGTTTGGGGAGCGGATGGAGCAGAGACCTTAACAGCTATGCCCACAGACATGTATGTGAATAGCTCTTTGAAGATTACGCCGCTTCCTGGGGAATGAAATCTAGCTGCAACTTTATGCACAGAGACTTAAGTTTAAAGGGATTGGACTTCATGCAGAGACACCACATGTGTGTTAGACTCTCTACATGTGGGGGGTGGGACCTTGGAGGACCCAAAACTTTTTTCTGTGATTGCATTTGGTATTGCAAAGGCTGAGAACTACTGTACTAGAGGCAGCACTTCTAGAAATACATGCTTTGAACTGCATTACAAATAAATCTGGTATCATGTAGCTGGGACACTCCTGTGTGCTTTGTGGTGGCTTTACTGCAGTAGAAGTTCCCTGGTAATAAAAAAAACTCTCCTTATGCTCTTATTTGTTAGTTTTAAAGGACGCCCTTGGATTGATTGCAAAACAATCAGAAGAACTTGAAAGCCATGCAGAACGTTTGTATGAATCGGTTTTGGCAGCCACGGATACCATTGGGGGTGACAGCCTGATAAACGGTTGCCCGGGCAAAAGAAGCTAAGTGGGTAAGCAAAGGACTGAAATGAGAGAGAACATCCCTGCTTGCATTGGTTCTCGTGACATGGTCGTTTTCAGGATAAACATTTGAAGTAGCCCCTTCTGGAAATCAGACTCGTCTGTGTGATTAAAGACTGCCTCATTGGGGAAATTCCAGAACCTGTCTGCAGCCCCAAAGGGGGTTCCAGAGAGCCAAGGACAGGAGAAAGGTAACAACACTTGCTAGGGACACAAGAGCAAGATTTAGCAAGTAGGTGAGTGGACGGCAGAATGAAGCAGATGAAGTTCACTACGGACAAATAGAAAGTGATGCAGCTGGAAGGAGTAATGGCTGTGTGCTAAACCACTTGGGAAAAAGACTTGTGCCTCATCTCAATGAAACCTCTGCTCAATATGTAATGGCAGTCAAAAATCAAACCATGGCAGCCTGGGTAATGCAGGGGATGGACAATATTGCCATGCCATTTTATAAATTAGTGGTCCACCCCAAATCAGAATACTGTGTAGAATTCTGACCATCCTTTCACAAACAACATACTGGCAGCAGACACAGAAGTAATTGGGAGACAAATGATTAAAAGCATGGAAAGACTTCAGGTAGTATTTTGTGTAGAGATTCAGGCATATTTTTCTCTCTCATACTTGTGAGCTATCCTTGTGCCATCGGACGTCGGTCTTTAAACAAGGACTACAAGTTAGGGATGTAATAGTGTAATTGATTAATCGATAAGCAAAAGCATATAGGTTAATGCTCTAGACTACAACATTTTCCCTCACCTCCGCCACCACTTAATTTATTTGCAGACCAGCCAGCAGCCCTGCTCAGTCCTGGCTCGTGCCAGGTCCGGGACCTACCCCTGCTGTTGCTCTGCATTTAAAGTGTATTAGGAGCCAGGCGGGCAAGCAGCTGGGTCCGGGAACTCAGCCTCTCCCACACGAAACAGGTGCCACCCTACACTACTGCCTCTGTATCAGAGGCAGCAACACGAGGTGACAGGCAGCCAGTCCGCAAGGGGAGTTGGCTTTTAAACTGGCTCCCCTTGTGAACCAGCTCCTGCCTGGCATCCTGCACTGCTGCCTCTGATACAGAGGCATCTGTGTGGAGTGGCAGGGGGCTCCTTGGAAGTGGAGCCAGATTGCACTGGCTGCTAGCCCTGCCCCATGGCACTATAGAATAGTCGAGTAACCAATAAGAATTCATGAGGTTAATCGACTATTCAGTTAAGCAATATTTTAACATCCTTACAAGTAATGGTTGTGGGTGGACACTAAAATTTAAATTAATGAGATTTTTACCTTACAAACATTAAAACGCACGAGATGACACACAGGCATTGACCTTTGGAGTTTCTGCAGTGGCATCAGCATTCAGGTACCTTCTGGAACAGCTCAGAGATCATGGTATCTTCTCTCAGTCATCTCCCTGGTAGTTAGGAATTCTTGGCCATTTCCAATGTAGAGTCCAACAGTTTATAGAATCAGCCCAGTCAAGGGTGCAGGGAGGTTGAGGTCTTAGCAGCCTGTGAAAGATGCTGACCAGTGGCTCTTTGTTCTGGGAAATGTCACATTTTTCCCTCTGGAAGTTGCACTGGTTTAATGGGAGGTAGCATGTGTCTGTACACAGGCAGTTGGCCTAGGACTCAGGAAAGCTGGATTACATTCCCCGCTCTGATGGCGACTCGCTGTGTGATCTTGGGCAAAGCCCTGCATTTTAGGAATAAGGACTGGCTCTGCTAGATGTTTGTACGATGCCTAACACAAGGTGTCCTGATCTTCATTCCAGGCATGTCTGTGCGTTACTGTAAGTTAGTGTGACGAGGGAGCCCAAGATTTCAGAGAACTCTTCATTAAGCTGATCAGATCTTGCAGCCAAGACTCGCACGGAGTTGTTAGATTACAGGATTCAGTCCGGAGTGAATGGGAGGATTAAGCCACCTTACTGCTACAATAATGCAGGCTGCTAAAGCTGTGAAACCAAGGGAGCTGCCCAACGCCTCTATTTAGCGGAACGAAACCCAAAGCCAGAACCAATGACGTGACTTAAAAATAAAGCATTAGCAGCCTTGAGCATTAGGTAATAGATTCCCTAGCTTGGCAGCAATGCACAGCGTGTTTTCTTCTCTATCATGACGTTATGTTATCAGAATGGGATAAACATTCAGAGCGTTGTACAGGGTGTAGCCTTGTGTCTCCTTGCTGTTGTATGGCTAGAACCGTGTTACACATTTTGGAAATGTACACCCCTCCCTCAGAGCCATTTCAGGTCATTTGTTTAACCACGTCCACAGAGCCTGGTGGGATTTTCCCCTCATGATTGGTCCTGGTTGTTAATAAGGTTGGTAGAACTAAGCAGAATTCCTGCTATTTTTGTGGACGTCTATTGTTTGTATAATTCCCTATCCCCTTTCCATGTGAGGATGTTTGTCAGGACTAGGACTCCGAGAGAAAAAGCGATGACAACAAACTGGGGGGGCTGACAGAATTGCGCAGGGTTCATCTACACTTGAATATTTAATCAGGTTTTAAGTTGTCCATTCTGGAGCCAGAATGGGACTCGCATTTGTTGCTAGTGACTCATTGTAACCATGCTGCAGCATAGGGCACAAACGTTTGTGTCTTATCTAATCTAGAATTTACATTGTTAAAGCGTGAGCGGCTATTAATTTGAGAAGCAGGATTTCCTTTGGGACAATGTTTATTTTGTGACACCAACCGTAGCACTGTGCTGGAAGCAAAAGGCTGGCAGAAATGCAGTGTTGGGGAGAAACTTTCCTCCTCCTTGGTTTTCTGATTCTAAGCCGGCTCCCCCTTAGCCTCTTGAGTGTTCTTCAGCAGCCTGTTCCCTTGTGAGGTGTTAGGACACTTTTCTCCAGGTACCAGAACCTCCTCCCACCTGGAAGAGGCCTGCTAACAGGGCAGGGAGGAGACTGTCATCTTCGTGCTGCAAGTTAGCAGAAGATTGGAGCTGAGTGAGGGTGGCTGGAAGGAGAGCTGTGGTGGATGCTGGAAGCCTAGCCCAGGCACCAGTCGGTGCAGAGCTGTATGCACCAGGGTGGATAACAGGACTCTGTTCTGGAGTGTACTCTGACATTCTAGACACTCCAGCTCATGGGAAAACGTGGTTCCTTGGAGGAGTTCTTGTAGCCAAACAGCAGATATTGCTTAAGCCACATGTACAAAGGAGCACTTTGCTGATGTTGAAGCTACCCTTATGGTCTTTTGCCAGCACAGTGGTCAGTCAGGAATCCCCCTGCTTCCCACCCCTGACTGAGATAGCTTTGCCAGCAGATGGCAGTAGGGTAGACATGGATTTAAGTGGAAGAGCAGGTTGCCTCTAGGGCATATTGACTTGGCTCATCTAGCAGCTAAAGCGTGAGTAATGTTTTGGAGAAGAGGGACCTCAGACCAGTTTGATAAGTTTTGGTTAACTTTTCTAGAAATCTTGGCTAACTCCTTAGTGGATAGAAACTGAGATGTTGCTCTCCTTTCCCTCCAATGCCCTCTTTTCTACCCACCCATCCCTTTATCTTTCTGACCTTCTGCCATGCTTGCTCTTTTTTTTTTTTTCTAACCTTCTCTTCTTGGTGGCTTACATCTACTGGAGAGCTCTTGTACGGTTCAAAAGCAGAAGCGCCAGCAGTGGGAACTGGTGCCAGTGGAGACTTAAAGCCAGTTCTGCCAGCACCAGCTCCTCCCTTCCTTGCTGCCTCTCATTGATAGAGGCAGCAAGGGAGTGGGGGACAAGTAGTTACGTGGCTGCTTGACTATCTGATAAGCATTTGCTTATCGGATAGTCAACTATTCACTAACATCCCTAGTATGGTGAGAGTCATACTAAGAGGTACTTATTTAACTAGTGACAACTCATCTTTTAATCTATAAAATATCTAATTATCCCTTTTCTGTTACCTTTTCAACTTTTGTTGTAAATAGGAACTCGCTTCATTACAAAGCTTTTACAGAACCAGAACAAAACCCACCACTTTGCAGGGAACAAGCAATAGAAGTAGAACATTTTACTCTTCAAAGATGTATCTGGAGATTAAGTAATGCATACATGTCTTTTCCTTACCTGGACTGCAGCCAGCTCACAGTAACTAATGCTCTTTATATTTCAGGTGATACCTCTAGCAAAGATGGAGTTTGTCAGTCGATCTTTGGATGCATGAAGGATGAGATCCAGCAAGGCACTCTGAGCAATAACATTTTCAACTTTTATAAAAATGTCCAAGTGAAATTGATCACTGAGTGTTACTCGGCAGTATGAGGAAACTTTTCATCACTGTTTGTGAAGTAAAAGCTGTGCCCAAGTGTCATTTTAATTACTATGCTTTTATTTAAACGAATTGGGCTGTTTAAGTTGTTGTAGCAGGGAAAGAAATACAGGTGCTGTTCAAATAAGCACTCACCGCTTTCCCTTTAGTAGTAGTTTGTTCCATTTTAAGTGTGAATTGTCAGGAACCATGACTTTTTAAAATGAGAAGTCCAAACACAGTACCCACATTGTTTGTGATCTATTGCCATGCTACACAATTTAACTTCACGTAAAGCTGTGTGGTTTGTTTTATCGTTGTTTATTTTTGTTTACTCTAAAATTTCTCTTCAGCAATTTATGATGGTTTGTCTCTGTTCAAAAGCAGCAACGGTTGATGGTAGCTAGCTGAAGTAAATAAAAGTTGACTGATTGCTAGTTATCCTCGCCTTACTGGATACAGGGAAAGAACCCGGCCAATGCCAGACACTTACTGACCTTTTCCTAGCACACTGCCATCAGAGGGGGATGGGTTGCTGAGAACTGAGCTCCATACAAATGTGTATATTAAAAAATGTTTCTCTGTAGCCATTCAGGTGCACTCTACCATGGAGTAGGCCTCTTTTCTTTTGCTGCGCTAATGTGGACTGGACAAGAAGCAGGTGCAGAAGACAAGTTTGAGAAATCCTTACATGATCTTGTCAGTAACATGAAGTAAAGGTGTAGTGGCAGGTGATAACTATTTGGTGGGATAGTACAGATCCTTTGTTTCCCTGTAAAAGGAGACAGGTTCTCTTCCATCTTTTTAAAGTAATGAAATGGTTGATGTAGAGATTACAAGAACATCACAGGGTACATTGGGCTGTGCCTTCTAAACACAGCCCGAGCAGCCAGGAGGGTGGACAGTAGTAGCTTTAAGCTGCTTTTGCTTTGCCTGGGTTCTGGGCTCTACTGCTCCAGTATAAAGTTAAAGCATCCCTAAGGGTGGTTCAAACTGTAGCAGTCTCCCCACAGCTGCCTCCAGGCTGAACTCTGATGACCATGCTCACCACTGCAGTCTGCAAGGAAAGGTGGCATGAAGCCTATGACAGCCTGGTAGAATTTAGCTCTAGTCCCTTGTAGCACCTGATTAACTTCTGCTGCAGTATGCAGGGCAAAGCCCTGAAGCACTCCACAAAAATGCAATGATTTTCTGATGATTTCATAACCTTTTGAAAACTTGCTGTGCTATGACATGACTGGTAAAGGCAAAGTTAGTCCCACACTGCTGAAGGTCTGTAAACTCAGCTCTGACAGACAAGGCTTTTATAGCATGGAAACACTCCTCAAAGACATGCTGTAATCTTGTAATTAACAAATCTTCAGTCTTACTTAGAGATCTGCAGAATTAGCAAGAGTACCCAAACAGCATCACCCCAAAGCCTTCCTGATCATTTTTTAATAGCACACTAATCCCTGTAGCTTGATTGAATACATTGATCAAATGTGGAGCTCAACTCTGAGTCAAGAGATGATCAGCAAAATAAGAGAGCAGCCTTTGCTCTGCCTTACTGGATGTTACCAAGATTTTTCTTTTCATGTTGTTGTGAGGGGACACCTTTGAAAGCCACACCTCCTAGAGAACATCTCAGCCCTTGACATCTTTGCTCCCAAGTGTTTGCCTGCAGGTAAGATTTTTCAAACACCCCGAAATCCCTTCCCATTTCTTTTCACACAATTGAAGCTTGAGATGGTTTGGGCTTGATCTTTTCCAGGAAAATTAGACAACCTGAACTTAGAGCATGGGAGCAACTTTAGAAAGCAACTGTTGGCTTTTTGTGTAAAGTAGCGACAAGGACATTTTTCCTTTTGCAGACACTTTAAGAGATACAACAGCAAGGTAGGCAGTGGGCTAAAGCAGAACTTCAGTGGTTCCAAGCAGACTACAACCAATTAACCACTTCAATTACCTTTAAACAAACTGACTGCTATTTAACCGTCTTCAGATCTAGTATGCATCAGTTCCTCATCCTCCATTCTTGTGAAGATTATTTTTGTGGATTATACATTGATAGGGGATAATAGCATACTTGGAAATATTAAGCATTTCTTTAACAGTAGTAGTTTGTTACAGAATCCTAAGCCTTAACATTTTCACTACCTTGAGGTAGGCAAATGTAGCTTTAAGTAGTGAATTTCAAAACAGTGGGTTAGTATATTGATTTATGCTCTAAGTTACAGGAATTGCTTCCAAACCCAGAATGGGCTGAGTAGATTGGATCATTTACATTTAAAAAAGGCTCCAGAGATAGAGAAGCTGGTGCCAGCCCTGCTTTTGAAGGAGAAGTCAAGTTCTGTTCAGTTTCGTCTTCATAACTTAGCTTCTTAAACTTTTCCTGATTGAGCAAGCATTTCATAGCAATGACACGGAGGCAGGGCAGTGCCTTGACAGAAGGAGGTAACTACCACACAACTGTAATAGCTTTTTACTCACTAGAGATGCTCCCCACATATATTCAGTTTACACTTGAAGTAAGGTTGAGGTACAGGGGTAAGCCCTAGTAGTGAAAGAAAAACAAATTACACTTCAATAGCTCCAGTGCTCAGAATGGAAGTGAAACAATAGGATAACTTAAGTTTAAATATTCAGCAGTTAAGTCACTTGCAGCCTTTTCTCTCTAGGATTACCAAGAAGCATAGCTGCTTCTACAGGTTGAACCTCTTAGTCTGGTATACTACAGGAGGTCAATATTCTTTAGAAACATTAAAACACATCCACTTTATACTGGACTCTTAGACCAGGCCTGCACTAGACTTGGCAACTCAGCTTCAGGTATGCAACTCTAGCTACAAACAGAGAGGCTGATGGGAGCAAACACTCCTGTTGGCTTCCCTTATACCCTGCAACAGGAGGAATACCTGCTGCCAGTGGGGTATCCTTGAGTTAAATTTAGCAAGTCTGAACTAGACTTTAAATCAAACTCTAGAAAAATCTATCATTGTAGCAGCAATCTTCCTTTTACTATAGGCAACGCCATAGACCTTTAGGGGTAAATCAGAATTAAACAGCACAGAACAGCAAGGCCTAGTGTCTGTAAAAAAGCTTTAAGGGATTACAGGAAGCTTGGACCTTGACTAGCTTAAATGCCAGACCACAGATGTTGCTGGACCAGAGTGCACTGGACTAAGGAAGTTGAACCTGTAGTAGAAAAGGGAAATGTCTCTGCAAGAGACACAAGGGGACAAATCTTCTATCTCCAAATGTAGAAGCCAGCAGTATGATTTGGAGGGAAACTGAGTTACTTCCTGTTTACTTATCTGCAGCCTTAAAAAAAACACCCTACTTTCTAGCTTTGAAACAGGTCAGTTTCTTGCTCAGAAATGTTGACAGTAGCTACAATGGAATTCTGATCCAGCCTGTGGGGAACAGCTTAAGGCTCCAAGGAAGAACCTGGTACAGATGTGTGACCCACAGAAACAGCAGAGATATGTTACCTATGACATACTTGAAGGTTAGGGGAATGAAAAGGAAGTGAATCTCTTCCAATATGTGAGTAGAAGAGTTGAGGCTGCAGTCATTTTCTGAAAGGCAGTGGAATAGTGGCTGCAATGTTTTGCTAAGCCTTTGGGCCCAATCATTTCCTCCCACACAGTTCCAAATGAATCTGACCTGCCTCCATTCTAAATTCCTTCACCTCACATTGGCTGCTTTTCAGAGGCAGGCCAATACAGAGTGTAGGAATCAGCACCCCCAACTTCTGAGGCTCCTCCAAAGGAGGAGTTTCCTTGTGGATCACTGGAGGAAGGCTACCTGCCACCAAACCTTCCCAATTTATAATGCAGGTGATCAGGACAGAGCAGACCCACTACATTAACAGATTATACATCCTGCTAAATGCCTACAAAATAGACATGGCCAGCTGTTTGACTGGTGGATGTTTTGTCATTAGGCAGCTATGCCCACCAAAAATGTAGCCCACACCAGGAAGACTTGCATGTGTTCCCTATAAGGCTATTTGTCTAGTTAGGAAACTAAATTAAGCTGGCTCTGGTAGCAGCAGGATTAAAATTCCATCCCTCTAAGCACTTCGCACAAAGGGTAAAGTTTAATGATGTTTGTCAGTTTTAACACACATTTTAGAAAACAAAGCAGTAGTGTAGGCCTGTGATGTACTAGCACTTGGCACTTTGGTTTCTAGGAAGCTTGCTTCCTCCAAGCAATGGCCAACTCCTAGGTTCTATTGTTCTTCACTTCTATTTTCCCTACCCCAGGAAGCTTCAGATATTTCTTTAAATATTAGCATGCACAGAAGTACCACCTCACAAATACCAATTTCACTGCAGCATGATTTAGCAAAACACCAAATAAGACTTAATGGTGTAGCCCAAAGTAGGTTTTGCAAGATTTTTATTACTATATATGAACAGTAGGGTGTTTGGATTGCATTTAGCAGGCAGCTTGACATTTAGAAATAAATGAATTCACTTCTATGGCAAAGAAGTGTTTTTTCCTTCAGTGAACACCGTTCTTCAGAATATACTGCCTGTTTCCTGATTTCATTAGCAGTAATCAATACCCAAATACCACCACTCCTGCTTATAACAGAGCAGGTGACCTTACATTAGTCTGAACTGATCCAACAAGCACGTATCTATAATACATAGTATACCACTTTGAGTTTCTCAGATTGAAAATTCAACTCATTTTAGTTATGACAATACTCTTTAAACACTTATTTTGGTACCATGTGTTAGAATTGCCTGTTAAATGGACAAATAAAAAAATTGCAGTAAGTTTGCTGTAAAGAGCTATTGCCTCAATTTGTTTCCCATATCCAAAAGCATATTTGCACCAGTTTGTTTTAATCTACATCTCACAACATACTGAAGTTACACTTTGCAATCACACTGAGTTTATTTTTATCCACAAGGGAATGTACATGGTTATTTTAAAAACCATGAGATATTTACAAAGTAAGCTCCACATTGCAGTTCTACATAAATCTGAACAGTTTTACCTTTATGGGAAGAAGCATTACAGGCTAGCTTCCTGTGTCAGGCACTAATTTGATTAGTTCTGTACAAAGATCACATGCGCATTTGGTTTTAATTGACTCAGTTACTCTGCTACTTAATTTTGAAGTCTGATTTGTAATTAGTTCCTTTATTTTATTTTGGGGTATAATTTTTGGTGGCTTCTTACCAAACTTTCAACTGATTTAGTATCACTTAATTTCATCCTACTTATGGAGAATTGAATAATAACTAAGTTGTTGCACTAAGTTTATTAAATAAAGTCAAAACAGTATTTGATTAAAAGTATGGAAGTAACATAGAAAGACATGACATACTGGCAGAGTTACATCACCTTGAGTTGTTAGCTTTAAGTCATTCACATGTTAGGAAAAATTGTTTCCACCTCTACTACAGAGCAAAGTAGACAATTTCTAAATGAAGTCCTTCAGAAATAAATTAAACTTCATTGACTAAGACAGGGAAAAATACTGTACATTCAGAATGCATTATGCTTCCATGAACATTAGTCTTAAATTGTGTTCCAAATACAGTAAATAGGCCTGAAAGACTATAAGAACTTAGTCTTTTAGGCCATACTTCCTACTTACATTTTTGGGAAGGGTGTTTGGTTTACTAGAGGGTCTAGAGTGCCATTACTGCACATGATACATTTTGGGCACAATGCAAGCCTAATTTCCCCCTTAGCCATAAAAATTAAGACAATATTTATCACCATACAGTTTGATATTACTTCCAATAAGTACAATATTTATTAAACATTTCTTCAGTTGTTAGTTACATATTGTGCAACAAATTACAATATTCTGCAGCCACAAGTTATATGCAGAGTATGAAGAAACTATTAATCAGATAGTGTAATCTTTCCATTTATAACTCTACAAGAAAGAACTAGCAAATCTTACTAAACTTTATGCATGGAAAGTGACAGACACTGTTGTGCTGTTTGATACAAAATGGCTGAACTTCATCTTCAGAAGACTAAACCCAACATTTAAAACATGCCAATATAAACATCAAAACAAAAGATATATTCTAACCAACCACGGGAAACAGTCTGGTATCAGGAAAAGCAACAAGGATTACACACATTTATAAACCAGCACACAAAGGTTTAAACAGTTCTGAAAATGAAGTCAGCTGTCTTGAGTCAAGGGAATAAAAAAAGTCAGTATTGACCATTTACAATCTCTGACCTTTGTGGAGACGGTAAGAATCTGTTGTAGTGCAGCTACATACAGTACAATTCAGGCAATTTTTTCACTTGGGTTCAGATTGCAAAATTCATTGTTGTGAGACAAAGGGGAGGCAAATTTTAGCAGCAACCTCCACTAGACTGCTTGACTGGAGTGCTCTGAATTTTAACATTGGACTTCTCTGCACCACCAGCTGTAGCTCCAGGACCCATTCGTTTTTTAATCTCTGCAGCCATGGTCATGAAAGACTGTTCTACATTTGTGGCATTCTTTGCACTGGTTTCCAAAAATGGAATTCCAAGGGAATCTGCAAATTCCTGTGAATTGAGAAATAGCAAGTATTAAAGCCTTACGGTTTGCTACTTTAAAGCTCAGCATTCACCTGAGTTACTTAAAATCCATTTTCAGTTTAATGTGTGCAGGAAAACTACTGCTGGTTCAAACCACCATTCCACCCCTCCCCAGCAGAATCCCTAAATTAGATCACAGGCATTTCATAACCCTTCAGGAGACATACCGGGATTTGCATTTTCTAGTCCCAGACCATTTGAGAACAGATGTTGAGAGTTATTTACTTAAGTAGGAGGCATTCAAGTGGGTTCAGTTCATATTTTTGATTAGATCATTTATAAGCCAATGACGTACCTTTGCTGTTGTATAGTCTACTACTTTCTTTGTGGTCAGATCGCATTTGTTCCCTACCAACAACTTGTTAACATTTTCACTGGCATAACGATCTATTTCTTGCAGCCACTGTTTTACATTATTGAAAGACTCCTAGAAGATAAGAGATTACTGTAAGCACTCCTCACCAAGAAAAGTTCCATTAACTTATTCAGAAATTGAGACAGCTTTCATAAGTCCACGATTGAAAGAGACATCTGCATATCCAGAGAACTTGAATTTCAGATGGTTTACATGAATTCATCTCCTCGGAGTAAAGCAAATGTTAACATGGAAGTACACAAGTGGTAGGAATTGATACAGTACACTAGATTTTCAGTAAGCCTTTGATGAGGTCCCTGAAAAGACAAGTCCTGGCCTTCCCTTTAAGCAAGTTAATAGTCCTTGATTTTTCCTGGATGAGTAACTGGTTAAAAGATGGGAAAGGAGGCAAGAATAAGTGATCAGTTTTCACAAGGGACAGAGGCAACAATAAGATCTCCAACAAACTAGTGACAAAATGGTCAGCAAAATCCAATGTTAAGTAATGCACATTCATTTTGAAGGTGTAGTTGGGATTGGAAAAAGGGTGTAATTTAGCTGTTACCACAGTCATGGTAAATTCCCTGAAAACATCCACTCAATGTCAAAAAGTTAACAAAAAATATTTAAAAATGCATAGAGAAGTCAAGATAATGCTGTCAAATCCACAATATGCCCACCCTTGAATACTGAGACAGTGACCTGATGCAGTGATGGTAGAACTGAAAAAAGCTGTAGACAAAGGCAACAGAAGGAATTGAGCAGCTGTTATAGGAGAGATTTAAAAACTGGGATTCTTCAGGTTAGAAAAGAGATGACGAAGGGGAAAGTGACAGGTTTATAAAGCCCTAAACACTTTCTCCATACTACTGATACCTTCATGCAACACAATAAGGGGTCATCTGATGACCCGTTGCACCCAATTGCAAGTAGTATGTACTTCACACGTCAACCTTTGAAACTCTGTCATAGGATGTTGAAGGACAAACGTAAAACTGGGTTCAAAAGAGAATGACTGTCATGGAGGACAAGTTCATCGATGGCTATTAACCAAGATGGTCAGGGATGTAACCTCCCTCCTCCCCCCCCCCATTTTGACTGTCCCTGAGCTTCAAACTGTTAGAAGCTTGGACTGGACCAGAGTTACCCTATTCTGTCTATTCCCTCTGAAATATCTGGCCACTGCAGAAAAATGACTCATGGGGCAAGCCACAAAAGCAGCCAGATGCCCCACCCCTGCAACATGGGAGCGTTGTTTTGAGCACCCAGAGAAGTAAAAATCACTATTGGGGGTGGGAGAACATGGAAGGGGACAGATGACAGGAGTGGAAATGCCCCAACAAATGCTGGGTCAGATCCACTCCCTGTATGACCAAGCCCCATGCTTTCAGACTTGGCAGGAGCATCTAGGTATTACTCACTGCGTCTTGAGGTCCCCTCATACCTGGCTCTCCCCAACTCATGGCTTCCTAACCTGAACCAAGCTCAGCTGCTAGTCCCATGTGGGCAAGGAGCACAATGCTCCTGCATGAAGTGGCTTAATCAGAGCCACCCCCAGAAGCCTCCACTGGTTCCACACCCACCCTCTGCTTCCAGGGGGGGAGGAGGAGGAGGAGAAGGATCACAACAGGCTGCTCCCTCTAACCCCCACCCCCCCTCCAATCAGCCCAATCCCCTGCTGCGCCTTCGCCTTTTAAAATGTTCTAAGCCTCCCAGCTCTCACTACATTTTAAAAGGGAGAGCCACAGCAGGGTTACCTCCTGGGGCTCTGCAGTTCCCCCCTTATTGATTAGTTGATAGAAATTCTATCAACTACTCAATTAGCTGATAATGCATTTTAACATCCTTAGCCCACACCTGGTGTGCTTGTTTATGGGGAGGAAGGAACAGGGGGGAAGAACAGTGGTCAGGGTATTTGAGACAGTGCAAAGGCCAGACCTATCAGGGTTGGGTGCAGCCAGCCCCTGGACACAGAGTCAGTCAGTTCCCACCTTTGCCTCAGTAGCCTGCATTCTCCACTGGCATGTTGGAGCCTCCACATTTGTTGACAAAGTTTTCAGAATTTTATTTTGGTGCAAAGTTTCCTCATGACTGTTTACCCAATCCTGCACTAGCGTATGTCAGTTCTCTGGCCTGGCCCCATTGCTTCCCTAAGCTCTAAAAAAAAAAAAGGGCCAGGGGTTTCTGATCTTCAGATTATGACTAGCATTATGTAAGCCTCTAGTGCACCCATCCACAAGGGTTTCCTCCAGGGCACGTATTGGGGACCAAGGAGAGCTTCTCGCCCCAGATGCTCCACTGGCTTGGCACAGGAACCTAGATTCCCCTAGTAGCTGGCAAAACATTGAGCTGTCAAAGTGAAACAGAACATACACCAAGTACCATCCAATTCTTTTGGCTTACAAGTGTAAGGACTTTTTTTTTTTTTTAAGTATAAAAGACAAACATTGGACTACTAAAGCAAAACATGTTGACAAGTTTGGTTCCTTTAGGTCAAGCTTCAGAGAATGTTTTGCACTCCATACTGAGGAGCATTCAGCCAATTGTATATTGTCCAGCTAACTGGGCTCATGGGGCCTTCATTCATCTTCAGATGCTCCCAGCAATAAAACCCTGTAAGACACCACTGGAATCACACATTGTGCTAATGCAATCACTGAGCAGTAATGAATTCAAAAGACTTAAGCAACTAAAGAGCAACATCAGCACCACAGCACAGAAGTTTGGTTCATAATGAAGATTTGCCGAGGGCATCTAACAGATAAAAAGCAGACGGGAAATCCTATTAGGATGTAGTTTGCCAAAATAAAGTAAGTTTGCTAACGTTAAGACACCTATTTATTTAGGAGATGGAAATAAATCCTTATTACTGAAGATTCTCAACTAGCTTTCATTTCAGAAGAACATAAGACAGTGACATCTTACCCCGAGAGCATCCAAGAGTTAATCCTATTATAGCCATTTGGCTATTAAGCTTTGTGTGTCCTAAAGCAGAATAATTTGCCATTGCAAAGCAGGAGTTCTCCTTTGGTTAAAATACAAGTTGTTTTAACCCTTCCATGCTGGTATCTGTTCCTGCTGCCAAATGCCAGCACACTGACATGCCCATGGCTCCACTACTTGGAAAAAATTTCAACAAAATGGACATCTCCAACATCTCTTCCCCGACTTGAAGCCCAGACGAATCAGCCATAAAACTACATCTGGCAGAGCTTAGAAGTTTGAAGTGGTATTTAAGTTTGTGTAATACTGGTGCAAGTCTGGAGAAAACTGGTCAGTTAGGAGATATTCAGCAAGTGTGACCAGATTTTAGCATTTAGAAATACCATTCATAGCCCTAGAGTGTCTGAGAAGATTCAGGAGCCAAATAAATTTACATCTAAAACAATTTTGTATACCTATTGGCCTAACTACTACACCAGGGTCTAACTTAGACCTTACCTGATCTGTAACATCATACACAACTATGATGCCATGGGCTCCTCTGTAGTAACTGGAGGTGATTGTTCGAAATCTCTCTTGGCCTGCTGTGTCCCACTGCAAAGTGTGATAATTAAGAAGGTTAGGACTAGACGTAAGGCGCAACTGTACCAGAGAATAAAATTTAATCTTTACAACCCAAGACTATCTGAAGCATCCAGTGAGTTGGCATAGAAATATCCATTAATGGTCACTGTCAGCTGTTTCAGCAGAGGTGCAGCTTAATTACATGTGAACCACAAAATAAGCTATGTTCAGCATCATTTCAGAAACAGCTGCCAAAATATGAGATTCAACTATAGCTGACCCTTCCATCTAGATTTACTGTTCCACTACAATACTTTAATATCACCTACGCTGGTGAAGACCGCCATATACTCCCTGGCTACGTCTAGACTGGCATGATTTTCCGCAAATGCTTTTAACGGAAAAAAGTTGTTAAAAACATTTGCGGAAAAGAGCATCTAGATTGGCACGGACACTTTTCCACAAAAGCACTTTTTGCAGAAAAGTGTCCGTGCCAATCTAGATGCTCTTTTCCGCAAATGTTTTTAACAACTTTTTTCCGTTAAAAGCATTTGCGGAAAATCATGCCAGTCTAGACGTAGCCAGGGAGTATATGGCGGTCTTCACCAGCGTAGGTGATATTAAAGTATTGTAGTGGAACAGTAAATCTAGATGGAAGGGTCAGCTATAGTTGAATCTCATATTTTGGCAGCTGTTTCTGAAATGATGCTGAACATAGCTTATTTTGTGGTTCACATGTAATTAAGCTGCACCTCTGCTGAAACAGCTGACAGTGACCATTAATGGAATAGCCTTAATGCATTCACCTGGGGGGCAAGCCCAGCTCCACAACCACTCCCGGGTGAAAGGAAATCAGGCCAGGAGAAGGAAGAGACAGCACCTGCACCCCAGTAAGGCAACAACTGATCTAAAACAGAACAGATACACATATCCCTTTCTTGGGGGCTGGTGTAAGCCCCTCAGTGAAGGGAGAAGATGACACCGTTTCAGCAACAGTATTAGTATAGATAAGGCCTTAGATTTGCTTCTCTGAAAACCAAGTTAAGTGCATTAGTTGTTGCAAGCCATCTACAAATGAGCTTGTAGATTTAGCATGGGAAGATTATGAAAATACCACCTACAATAATAGTGATTTTCAACTATGCCTTAAGTATTCTACATAACTTTTGACCTTAAGTGGCTAGAATGATTCCTATTCACACTAGGAGAGTCTGAGATTTAAGCTTTTTCCACAAAGTATTTTTTCCTCGGTACTAATGCAATGCTTCAGTTCAAAGTTAAGGTCAACAATATTAGGAGTGCCCATATCATAGTATAATCTCTCCTTATTGCATAGTAGTACAGGTTGAACTTCTAGTCTGGCATTCTGGCCTCGCCTGATTTAAGTTAATCAGATGTCCACTTATGGGTGTGGCCAAGTTCCCCATGGTCCCATAAAGCTTCAGACACCAGTCCTGGCTCAGTGTTCTGTGATGTTATTTAGCACTAATTTACCCATAATTGTCTATGAGTCCACTAAGCAGTGAAGTAATTCCAATAGACAATATGGACTTCCTTTGGTCCATCAAATTCTCTGGTTCAGATCCCAAGGGTGCCACACTAGAGAGGTTCAACCTGTATAACTCAATGAACTTACAATAATTGTTTGTAAAGTCCCTGTCCACTGGTATGCTAAGAGCGGAGACTGTATTGCAAGGAAGATATGCTGTAGATAGTCTATTAATAGACAAACGCTTGCTTTAGATTCATTCCAAACTCAACTGTTAGATTTTCTGGCTGCCATCCCTATAGAATCTGGGCACTTCAATTATTCTGGATGACAAATATTCTGCATAATACAAGTCAGCTACTGCCATTTACTAGCCCTACCCTCATACCCTATGTTATGGTAGCCATTAAATACCTTGCTAGGCTGGTCATCCTTGACTTATCCTAAATTGCACAACTGAACAAGTTTTGGCCAGAGCTTTCTATTGAAAATGGTCTTTCCCAGAAAGCAAAAGCCAAACCAGCTTGTAAGTATTACAACACAGGAGAAAAGCCATGTTTCCTGGTGGGCAGATGAAGACCATTCAGGGAATTTAAAGATAAAATGCTTCATTTTACTGGAGTGGCTACCAAAGCATGTTATATGCCTATAATGAAAAAATGCATTTGTGTGTAGAACTGTTGGTGTTCTCTCAATGTCCTAGTTTCACTTCAGATTACTGTAACTTTGGCAGTGTCTAAGTGAGGATGGAGAAGCTGCAGTTTGGTAGAATCAATTAAACAAGTTAACTGATAAAACACTCCTAAATAGGGATGTGAAAGGTTAACTAGTTATCACCACCCTAAACAGGTAATGCCCATCTGTTGCAGTTAACTGGGGTTAGGGTCTGGAGCAGCTCCCCCAGTCACCCCAGGCAGGGGGGCTACTCCAGCCCTGTGGGGCCCAGTGCAGGCAGGGTCTGCTCTAGATGGCTGGAGCAGCCCCTGTTTGTCTGTGCCAGGCCCAGACCATCCGTGCCCTACTCCCACTGCAGGTTACCTGCTGGCTTCCTGAGAGCAGGGAGGTAGCATCACTGCCGGGCTCTGCAGTATAAAGCTTCAGCAAGCTTTATACTGCACAGCCCACAGCATGTAACCACTAGGTTACATGGTTATCTTTTAAAACAATTTTTTCCATCCTATTCCTAAAGCCCTGTCTTGATACCTATTCTTCCAACAATTAAGCTTTAGGCCAGGTGAAAGATCTATCCCTTGTATATACCAGCCAGTCATACACCTACATACTGGCAAATAAACTGTTCCCCTGCTTCCCTTTATGCAGCTCATATACTGAGGTCTCCTTTGTTCTCAGGCAGCCAGCAAATGCAGGTAGGTCCTTGACCTCCCAATACCTGCCTCTGCAACAGTCTATACAGAGCTACAGCTCAAGGACCACTTTGCTTGCCTTCCCCTCTCCTCCTCCTCAAGTATCAGTAGCATCTGACTCATTCTGCTCCTTGCCTGTCCCTACAAGGAAGGAGGATACCAAAGTTACTCTTGCTAAGCAGGCTGCCTTTCAAAGTCCTAACACTTTGAAAGAGGCTATTTTTGCCCTTTGTGGCAAGTAAAAAATGCTTTATGCAAAAGCTCATTTATCTGCTGCTGTTGTATACAAAGTGCTAGTTCTATTTTTGTTAGACAGCCACAGGCAACAGATGAGAAATCTACTTGACTTGGATAAATAAAACATTAACTCAGATGTGCATAACCTGTGTCAATTTGCAGTTTTGAAGTGCTTTGAGCTGTAAAGATAAGGCTAAATGTTAACACTACACCCCTTGGTCTGAGCTTCAGCAAACTCAAGATGTAATGTTAACTCAAACATTCTTTCTAGCACGAAGAACTTAGTATTAATCTGTATTGCTAAAATTCTTAAGAGTGTCTACATTCCTCAAGTGTTCATGTTGAACTTACCTGGTCACATCTTGTACTATGAGGTCTAACTGTACACTGAAGATTAAGGTCAGTAACCCAAATACTCTTAAATGCAACAGTCTCACTTATTTATTATCACACCCATTCTTTGCTATTGAAGTGTTTTCCTTATGCTTTGTTTTTAATTCATCTAAGCACTTCACAGTTGAGATATTGTTTAACCTTTGAACTTAGACACATCTCTACACATCCTATAAAATAGTCTACAAGCCTTATACTAAGTAGGGATATTAACAGGTAGCCACCTCAGCCCCTCCATGCACGTATTAGGATCCCTGCGATTAACCCCTTTTGTTTAGGAGTCACTTCAGGTTACTCAGAAATAAAGTGCAGGCGGACAGTCCCATCAAGAGCTAAGCAAGGTGCCAACTTTAAGATTTCTCGTGAGGACAGTGAATAGTACGCGCTTGCTTATAAGGTGCCAATAACTATGTAACTTGGTTTTCACAAAACTGTTCATGCTTGCGTACTGAAACATCTGTCAAGCAAATCTGTCCAGTCTTTCACTAAGCACAGAAAAATGTGCATTATGCCTGATCTATGACATTAGCCATCAATCAGAATTACATAATTACTATTAAAAGCCTCTAAATACAGTCTGAGAGTTAAGACATACTTACTATTTGAAGTTTGATGGTTTTCCCATCTAACTCTATAGTTCGGATTTTAAAATCCACACCAATTGTGCTGATGTAACTTTCTGTGTATGTGTCATCCTAGAACCAAAGAAAAGAATGAACTGAGTAATGATAGTACAATGAAATCTTCAGACACTCCTCTACAAATATCAGATACTTATGGTGAACAAACAAACCAGCCCTGTACACTGCTCCATACAATGCCTATGTTCTAAAAGAACATTATGTTCATTGGACTGTTGGTATAGTACTTAGCACAATGGGACCATGAACAAGTCCCCTTCAAACACTACCAACATACTTAGGAGCTTTTGAAAATGTTCCCCACAGGTACTTAAGTCACTCCAAAAACTGAAGTCAGTCCTTGGGAACCTGGATTTCACTAAAAGTCAGTGGGACTTGGTACCAAAGTCACTTTTGAAAGTTGTTCCTAGTCTAATTAAGAAATGGGGAATCCTAAAAAACAAGTGTATTAGGATCCCTGGGATTTTTAAAACCCTTTTTTAGGAGTCACTTCAAGTATCCTCAGAAACAAGACTAATTTTATTTAAGTTTCCTAAACATCTAGATGGAGCTTTGTGGAATTTAGAGTTAATTTAGCACAACTCTAACAAGAGCATTAGCATCTCTCAAACTAGCTTCCCACTTCACTTCCCTGGAGTTCTTTTCACAGTATATTTGCATACAGACAGCTCCTACTGCACTACAGAGGTTTAGCATGGAAAGAATTAAGTTAATGGAGGACAGAGTCCTGGGAAACAGACTAAATGAGAGATTGATTTTCATCTCCTCTTGCAGATGTCTGAAGAGGAATACATTCAGTGGTCACAGAAATCCTTGCTGGGTTTATTGCAGACAGCTGGGATGCAACAAATTTGTATTTCTTGATTACCACCACTTTACCTATAGAATACAAACCCATGTAACCAATAGCCATTATGAAGGGAATCTCTTCAAATGACAGATGAATAGTGGAAGATAGTATATCAGTTCAGAACTGTGTTCACAACCCCTTCCTTCAAGCCAAGGCATACTAAGGAATCCCACCACTTGATACCTTTTTAAAGTTTGATACTGCATTTAATTCATCTTAAGAATTTGTTTGTGCCACTCAAGTGTACCAGCATAAAGTAATTAGCAGCTTTAAAGAGGTCTGAATGACCATTTGTCCAACCAAATGAAAAGGAAGCCTATATAAAAAAAACCAATGCTAAATAACTTGTGCATCTTCCTTTGGCATGCCAGTTTCTGGTAAATCAAGTATCAGTCTCCTAAAGTGGAAATCTCAAACCATTACTTGAATACAGCTTTTGGTATCATGGACAAAATAGCTTTGAAAGCATGACTGAACTTACTGCAAATCTAAGTAGAAGGCAAGACTTCCCAACACCAGAGTCTCCAATCAGAAGTAGCTTGAATAAATAGTCACTGCAAAGAGGAAAAAAAATGATTTATATATCACTAACATTTAAAACTGGTATTTGAAGAACTTGAATTACTCAGACCATGTACACTTTGGAGTAATACTATTTCTTCAAAATAGTAGCTTGCTACTGTTATGTTCAGGAAATAGGAATACCTTTGCTCCCTCAAGTTTAAAAAAGCATCCTGTAAACTGAATAAATAGAAGAAACTGACATATTGGACTGGAAAATTACATTAGACTTGCATTACATAAACAGGGGTATTGTTTTTACTATATCTCATTCTCCTTTGTGCACTCACAAGTCAGTTACTATCGGTATACTCATGTTTCTAAAACAGCAAATTTGTAGAAGGATTTGTTAACCTCGTATCAACTGTGATTTTGAATCACAGCTTTTTTTATTCAAAAAGCAAATTTGAATAGCAAGAGTCATTAAATATTTTTAATATCCGAGCACCAACTCAAGCAAGCATAAGCATGTAAACCAAAATACCTGGTCACAGCAGAAGACTGAAGAGATGAAACGGATAGTGTTTATTACATTCGAGTGTACAGTGCAATTCCGCCCCCTTTTTAGGATCAATACAATTACCTCCTCAACACCAAAGCAGAATTTATGCCTTGTAAAGTTTGCTCAACGACAACCTTACTGTTAAAAAACTACCGTCAGTCAGAAATAAATGGATTTCTTAACTGTCTAAAGTGTAAGCTTCAGACGGAAGGCTAACAGTGTAGTGTGCAAATCCATGATTTGCAATAGCAATCACTTAAATGCACGCGATCATAAGATCAGTACCTTAGACAAATTATTAGATAGTCTTGACTGAGAGCTAAAAGTGACAGAAAATGATAATCTATTCCATGCCATTCATGTTGCCGTCTAGTTCAGACAGTTTGCTACTGGCAAACCAGAACACGGATTTTTCATGCTCCAAAAGATGTCCAATGTAACATTAGTTTTAAACACTCTACAGTAGGGATGTTAAAGTGAGTTTATTTCGGTAAATGTGTAACTCAGGGGGTGGGCAATAGTTTTTGCAGGGGGACAATGAATTTGGTACATGGCTGCAGGCCGGCTCCACCTCCGGAAGGGGCAGGCATGGGGATTAGCTTCCCCCCAGAGGCTTTGAATTAAGACATAGGGCTCACACTTCCCTGCCTCACCACTAATGCATTACCTGGCAACTATCTGGGGTTGCTGCAACTATTTAAAGGGTTCAGTGTTAGCTCCTGCTGGGGCAGCACTATGACCCATGAGCCATTTAAACTCAGGATCCTGCTGCCTGAGTTACCACCTAGATATTTGATGGCACAGGCAGCAGAATATAAATAGAGCAATTCACAGGCTGGACCAACAGGCCAGAACCCCTCCCCCCTGGACCTCATCTTGCCTAGTGTAACTACTGGAAATTTCAGCAGTTACATGTTTACACAAGGGGTTGCTGGTGTCCACTGAGAGTCTGCTTAAAAGCCAGCTCCCCTTAAGCACCGGCTCCCACCTGCCCTCCCTCTGGTACTGTTGCCTCTGATACAGAGGCAAGAGCATGGAGGGAGGAAGTGCCCTACCTGTAACTGGAAGTAGGTTCAGTTACATCAGTGGTCTCTAACCTTTTTACACCCAAGATCACACTTTAAATGACAGAGCAAGCCAAGATCTACTGCCCCACCCCTTCCTTGAAGCCCCACCCTCTGTTCACCTCTTCATCACTTGCTATCCGCAACCCTTACACTGCTGCTTCCCTCCCCGTGCCCCAATTCTTCTTTAGGAAGAAGTTTCTCCAATATTTGGCCTGTCTAGACTTGACCAAATGTCAGAAAAAACCCTTCTTTTGGAAGCCCCCTTATTCCTCGTGGAAAGAGGAATATAGGCGTGACTGAAAGATCATGTTTGCTCTTCCACTAAAAGTGGAACACACACACACACCCCTGGATGCAGAAGAGTTTTTCTGGGGTATCTCCGGAACCCTGAAAAACTCTGGCAGTCTAGACATTCCCTCACTGGGTTGAGACAGGATGTGTATGCTCCAGGGGGGCAATGAGGGATTTGGGTGCGGGAAGGGGTGAGGTGTGCAAGCTCTGGGAGGATATCTGGATGCAGGAGGAAGTGGAGAATGGAGGAAGTTCCAGGCCAGGCAGTGTCAGATGTAGGGTTAGGGTACTAAGTAAACCACAGACTTCTGGATGTGAGGGTTCAGGAATTTGGGGTGGGTATGTGAGGAGCTCAGGGCAGGGGGTTCCAGTGTATGATAGGCTGAGATCTAAGGTCTGGGGGAAGGGGAGTGCCATGATGCTGTGGCCAGATGGGGGCTTGGCCCCTATTGGGGGTTTGTTGGCCAGGCTTCATTTTCAAATAAAATACTATACCAAACAGAAAAAGTTTCTGCATTGTCTTTCTGAAAAGGGCAGGGAACCTGTTTTGACAGGGTGCCAGTGGGGCCAGGTTTCTGAGGCTGGC